ATTGTTGATCCCAGCTGGAAAACACACATTTGAATTAAACACTCCACATATGATATGGTATTAACACCAGCAAGAAGAACCCCGATCATTGTTGGAGTGGCACTAGAGGTATACAGTATGTCAACAACAGCAAGATAGCAAAACAGAAGATACATTGGTTTATGTAACTGCTTGTCAGAAACAATGAAGAGGATATTGACCAAACTGCCAGTAACAGCATAACCACACCAACTGCTACAGGCCTTTTGACTGTGTCAAAGCCACCTATAATAAAATAAGTTAGTTTGACTGAAGCATTCTGTAAAGACATATTTAACAAATATTAAATTACAATAAGTTCCAAATTTCAGTTGATAACGTAATAAGACAAAAAGGAAAAAAAAAAAACCTCCTCAAACAAAAGGTGGTTAGAGATATTTCAAATCTTTAGCAGCAATAGACAGTGGTTAAGAACAAAAAATAATAACCCAGCTAAACACAGATAGTTTGGGGTTAACAACAAAACACCTGTCCTTTCACATTTTAAGCTTCACAAGAACAGTACATTTTCACTCGGCATCCAATGACATCCAGTGACACCTCATGTAGGGATGGACGATCTTCTATTTACATATCCCTAGAGATTGCAGAAACATACTGCCATCCCCTCAAAGGTGGGATGACGATGGCTGGATGCTTTTATGTACTTTTTACTTTGGCTCTTAAAGAGTTTCTATAGCACAGGAGGTACAGCAGGTTGTCTACTATTTGTAAAGTTGGTGGTTCTATATCTGCCATTTACCACATGTGAAACAATGAACTAATCATTTTCAGACCATACCTCAGCAGCTATATTGCTCTGATCTCCCATAATTATTATAAATCAGAAATTACAACCTAGCTTACAGCTTAATTTGTTTTTATAACATCTTTCATTTTGATTAGGGTAGTTCAAAGTAATTCTCAGACAAATCACAGCTAATGCTAAAAGCTAATAAAACAAAAACTAATAATAAAAAATGACAAGTAACAACCTAATTCTTAGAGGAAGCCATGTCTCAGTCTAAGAGGATGATATATAGTGAATACTAATTCAGGAGGATATACAGAATTAATTACTAAACTTTAAAATGCAACAGTAAAATAGCTGTCAAAAAGCAAAGACTTGCAATTATATGTTTTTTATATCATAGCAATCCCACCACCACATTGTCATACGAGTCGGTCATTTTACCTAATGTTTTAGAATTTGGGGGCTTTTTAGTGGTTTTGTATATTCTGTGCTGATTCTTGATTTGTTAAATGTTTGTATTGCGCTTGTGTATTCTTAGTATGTTTAATCTACCATTCAGTTTTTAGTTATCTCAAAGTTTTGTATTTTCAGTGTTGCCCATCCTCTTGTGTTTTGTTATTTTTGTCTCCCATGTCAGTCTTCTCTTTGTATTTAGTTACTGTTTTCTCTTCTCTAAGTTTCTGTGTTTTACTCCTTGTTTTAGTTTCCTGTGTTTTTCTTGTTGTATCTTGATAGTCCCTCGTGCTTTATGTTCAGTTTTGCTTCCCCTGTCTCATTACGTCTAATTTGTCCCTGCTGAGTTTCCCAGCTGCCTTCACTTCCTTAATCAACCCCCCCTGTGTAATTATTGTGACAGTCTCACTTTGTCCTCTGTCAGATTGTCAGTGTATTCTCCCCAGTGTTTCCTAGCTCTCTGTGTCTCCAATGTTTTTGCTTAGTTTAGTTCTGGCAATTTGAAAGGTTTAGTTTCTTTTTCCATTCCATGTTGAGTTTTTGGTATTGGGATCAGCCAAATAAATGGCTTGCCTGTTGTTAAGATTATCCTGTCTCCAATAGTCTCTTTTTGGGTTCCCCACCTCTACACTTGGTCTGTTCATTCTATAGACGTTAACACTCTCCTGTTTGTATTGGTGCAAAGTTCAAAACCATAGTTAGTAGTAGTGATGTGCAATACCACTGATTTCCTTTCCGATCCGATCCCAAGTAAAATTCAGGGTGGTATCGGCGATACTGATCCGATACCGATACTCTGTACAAAAACTTAATGTTTCATTGCATTTCATAATACAATATATAATTTTATTATATAATTGTAATAATAACATAACCATATTGCTTCATAATGATTAGAGGACATCAGACAACTTGTTTTTATTGCTTAATAATGCAGAATAATAATATAGAAATAAAATAAAAACTGAAGTTGTGCACTATTTGAGCATGTTGCCTGCCTGCAGCACTAAAAGACTCTGCGAGAGACGTCTGTGTCCCTGTCCTCCTCTTCAGTTCGCCTCAACATAAGCTCATCATATTCTGTGATGTGATTTACTCCGAGGTGTTTGACGAGGTCAGTGGTGTTGCCACAACACCTCAATGTATTGCCACATATATCACAAACCGCGTCTAGGCTGTTTGTGGAGGTAA